GCTTCTGAGTACTGGGGCAAAGCAAGTTATTTTGTGCTTTATACATTATCTGTGCCATTTTATATTCAACTAAATCATAAAATTTCAGGGTATTCAGATTAATAAACCTAATGTTAGTTGGTTCTATATAGTTTGATTGGTTTATCTATCTATCTATCTATCTATCTATCTATCTATCTATCTATCTATCTATCTATCTATCTATCCACACACTCATTCATATATCTAATAAGAAAAAACTGTTAAAACTGAGAGAAATGTTTTAGTTGAACCAACTGAAATATAATGCATATCAAATTCATTTACATATCTATGTATGCAAAGCGTAAAATTCAAAGGGGGACAGATCATTGCCACAAAACTTAAACAATCCACCAAAGTAAAAGAAAGGTTATTATTCTTATAGGAAGGAAAGGAGTACAGGTTTCCATGGTAGCATTTCTTAACATTGGTAATATAGCTTAAAATTTAATTATGATTACAACTAAGTTTGATGACCATTCTTTGAAAACTCTGCACATTCTTTGAAAACTCTGATGTGCTACAATGCATGCAATGTAGGGGTTTTTGAGCATGTGAAAGAAATGACATAGGGCAGTGACTATGTCTGAAGTGTCGTTGTGGTTTGGCTTTTTACACAAGCGTTGCAATTCACTGTGTTACAGCTGGTCACTCTGGTCACCCTTTCTGTGGGCATAAAAAAAATGCTCAGATGTTCCTGCAAAGTAAGCTAAATGTCAAGACAAAATGAGGGACATGTCAAGGTGTGTCTGTCTAACTTACTGCTAGCTTTTCAAAAAAAAAAAAAAAAAAAAAAAGCTCAGTGTTATCTACACTGTTTTTAACCTTTGCTTACCCAGGAAAATGTGACTCTTGAGATTAAAAATATCTTTTACAAGAGTGTCCTGGCCAAGACAGACAGCTGCAAAATCAACTAAGTTCCATAAACTAGTAACACACAAATGAATGCAGAAAATAATACATAAATTAAGTACAGGAAAACAAAAGTGATACAAAATAAAATATAAAAACAACAAAATATGTAAGCTTCAGAGCCCATAAAGCGTAAAACACGATCATTATCGTCTTATGCTCACTGGCATACAGTTTTGCTGCAGTTTGCATCATGTGCTCACAATAGTTATTAGCCATCAAACCTATTTTATTCTTTTAAACTGAGCCAATGGTTGAGTTTGTTTGACATGTTTGAAACATTACAGTCTCCTAGGGAAAAGATGTATGCATCTTAACTAGATGGCTTCTTCTGCAGTTACGACCGCTGTCTTCTTAATAGGGCTGGGCCATATTATACCGTTCACGGTAATACCGGTATAATGTTAGGCAACGATAGGAAAATGAAATATCGCGATAGAA